GAATTTGACCTTCATGGATTTTCCATGGAGAGGAGGATTTGGCCCTTCCTGGAATTTGACCTTCATGGATTTTCCATGGAGAGGAGGATTTGGCCATTCCTGGAATTTGACCTTCATGGATTTTCCATGCAGAGGAGAATTTGGCCCTTCCTGGAATTTGACCTTCCATGGAGCTTCCATGCAGAGGAGAATTTGGCCCTTCCTGGAATTTGACCTTCCATGGAGCTTCCATGGAGAGGAGAATTTGGCCTCTCCTTCATGGAACTTCCATGGATGGGAGGATTTGGTCTTTGCTTCCATGGAACTTCCATGGAGCTTCCATGGAGAGGAGAATTTGACCTTTCTTCCATAGAACTTCCATGGAGCTTCCATGGAGAGGAGAATTTGGCCTTCCCTTCATGGAATATCCATGGAGAGGAGAATTTGACCTTTCTTCCATAGAACTTCCATGGAGCTTCCATGGAACTTCCATGGAGCTTCCATGGAGAGGAGAATTTGACATTTCTTCCATGGAACTTCCATGGAGAGGAGAATTTGACATTTCTTCCATGGAGCTTCCATAGAACTTCCATAGAACTTCCATAGAACTTCCATGGAGCTTCCATGGAGAGGAGAATTCCACTGTTTCTTCATGGAACCTCCATGGATGGGAGGATTTGACGTTTCCTTCATGGAACTTCCACGGACCTTCCATGGAGGAGAAGATTTGGCTTTCCTTTGGTCTTTCCTTTTGGTCCTTGCTCTTCTGGGCCCATTTCTGGGGGTTTTTGGGGTCATCTTTGGGGTTTTTGGGCCCACTTTTGGGGTCTTTTTGGGCCCATTTTTGGGATATTTTTGGCCCATTTTTGGGGTATTTTTGGCTGATTTTTAGAGTATTTTTGGCCCATTTTTGGGGGTTTTGGGCCCATTTTGGGGTATTTTTGGCCCATTTTTGGGGGTTTTGGGCCCATTTTTGGGGTTTTTTTGGGCCCATTTTTGGGGTCTTTTTGGGCCCATTTTTGGGGTTTTTTTGGGCCCATTTTTGGGGTTTTTTTGGGCCCATTTTTGGGGTATTTTTGAGCCCATTTTTGGGGTTTTTTTGGGCCCATTTTTGGGGTTTTTGGTCAATTTTTGGGGTCTTTTTGGCCCATATTTGGGTTCATTTTGGCCCATTTTTGGGGTCTTTTTGGGCCCAATTTTGGTGGGTTTTTTTTGGTGTCTTTTTTGGGCCCATTTTTGGCCAATTTTTGGGGTATTTATGGGACTATTTTTGGGGTCATTTTTGGGAACTTTTTGGGCCCATTTTGGGGGTTTTTTTGGCCCACTTTTGGGGTCTTTTTGGCCCATTTTTGGGTTTTTTTTGGCCCATTTTTGGGGTTTTTTTGGCTCATTCTTGGGGTCTTTTTTGTAGTCATTTTTGGGATCTTTTTGGCCCATTTTTGGGGTTTTTGGGCCCATTTTTGGGTAATTTTTGGCCCATTTTTGGGTAATTTTTGGGGTCTTTTTTGGCCCATTTTGGGGTATTTTTGGCTCATTTTTGGGTCTTTTTTGGCACATTTTTGGGTCTTTTTTGGGGTCATTTTTGGGGTCTTTTTGGGCCCAATTTTGGTGGGTTTTTTTTTTGGTGTCTTTTTTGGGCCCATTTTTGGCTGATTTTTGGGGTATTTATGGGACTATTTTTGGGGTCATTTTTGGGGTCTTTTTTGGCCCATTTTTGGGGTTTTTGGGCCCATTTTGGGTTTTTTTTGCCCATTTTTGGGGTCTTTTGGCCTATTTTTGGTGTTTTTTTTGGTGTCATTTTTGGGCTCATTTTTGGGGTCTTTTTGGCCGATTTTTAGGTATTTTGGGCCCATTTTTGAGGTTTTTTTGGGCCCATTTTTGGGGTCTTTCTGGGACCGTTTTTGGGCTCATTTTTGGGGTCTTTTTGGGTCCATTTTTGGGGTATTTTTGGCCCATTTTTTGGGTGTTTTTGGCCCATTTTTGGTGTCTTTTTGGCCCATTTTTGGGGTCTTTTTTGTAGTCATTTTTGGGGTTTTTTGGGCCCATTTTTGGGGTTCTTTATGGGACCGTTTTTGGGGTCATTTTTGGGGTCCTTTTTGGGGTTTTTTGGTCCATTTTTGGCTCATTTTTGGGTCCATTTTTTGGGTTTTTTTGGCCCATTTTTGGTGATTTTTTGGGGTCTTTTTTGGCCCATTTTTGGTGATTTTTTGGGCTCTTTTTTGGCTCATTTTTGGGTTGTTTTGGGACATTTTTGGGCACTGTAAATCCCTGGACAATTCCCCGCTCCGTCAACATTCCCCATCTCCCTTTATTCCCACCTGATCCCCCCAAAAAGCCACCAGGAATCCTGCTGGAATTCCCAAAATCTGGAATTCCCGGGAATCCTGCTGGAATTCCCAAAATCTGGAATTCCCGGGAATCCTGCTGGAATTCCCGGGAATCCTGCTGCCATTCCCAAACCCTGGAATTCCCGGGAATCCTGCTGGAATTCCCAAACCCTGGAATTCCCAGGAATCCTGGAATTCCCGGGAATCCTGCTGGAATT